CACATGATGCATTTGATAGATTAATTTAACTGACCCCAGGCATTGATAGTGTACAGTAATCATTACTTTTATCTTATGTGGGGTACAGTATGAACGATATGGAGACGCAGAATCACATCTCTGAAGTTCTATCCACCCAAATGCAATGGTCAGTCCTGGACCGTGAGGAGATGTGATTGACAGAGTAAGCAGAACCTGTCATTGTATAGTTCCTCCAAAAGCGCTGATGTAGCATAATCCAACATGAGATAATCATTGGTTTAAGGGCAGTTATTGTTTTAGAATTTGTGTACTTTGGTTTCCTTCGTCCCAAAACATCAAAAGATAGTTACAATCATCTAGCTCAGGTCCTGCCCAAGCTGAGCATCACCATCTGGAGGTGGGTCTCTGTAGCGACCACTGCTGTTTCCCCGTAATACGGTATACCATAACTGTAGCCAATAATGTATTCGCTACTAGCCTTTCGAGTACATCGTATAATGTATTTTAGATTTTACAGCTCTGAATTTACTCCAATGTTTTATGGTCATTATTCTCTTTATCGATGTACAGTGTTACAGCAGACTATGGTTTGCATATTTTAAACGCAGTCCACAGATATTGAATTCTTATGACATCACAAGCCAGACAGTGTATTTTTCTCATTAATCATTTGAGAGAAGTGGACCTTATTGGCAAGCACTTAAGATAAATAAAGAGCGCTTGTCGCTGCCACAAAGCTGCACACATTCACTGAACCTGAGATGATCTGATATTGCTAAATGCTACCAATACGCAAATTACATGTTATAGGGGGACTATGACTTATGGTCTTTTCATTAGACTTGAGTTGGCATCTGTATTGGAGAGTGTTGCCAAGGGGCATGAGCTGAATGAAGATGATGAAGTTTGCTGTCCGTGCTAATAGGAGCTAACATACAGTGGCGCGTGAAATGACTTTTAGTGATTCTGACGATAGCGACTCTTTCTTATTCAAATCAACACCCCTAAACACTGCCAACATATACATCAAACCATGCCGTTGATGACAAGAGGGAGACCTTTCACCAAACCTTTTTTCATAATTTCTTTGCCCTGTACTTTTTTTATTACCTCCTCTTAGGGTTATGTTTTAACCATGGTCTGTTTGTTTGTAGCAACATAAGTTATGGGCAGATTTTTACAAAAATCAGACCGGTTACTTATGATGTGTTGTATAAAATCTAGACAATTTGGAGGGGATCTGCATCACTGGAGCTCGGTTTTTTTCTAGTTCTTATCTAGTTAGTAGTGGTTTTGAAGACATGTGACATCTAGTAAATGTCCAAAGCTCTAATAAGCTCATATGCTGCATTCTGGCCCCAAGAATACGGTGAAATATGATGAAATATGTGATTTAGGCCAATAGAACCTACAGAGTAAAGGTGAGACTTTAAATCCCCCGGGGAATAGACTTGCTCAATAAGCAAGTGTGCAACAATTCAGTGTTGTCTTAACTGACAGAAATAGAAGATGATCTCTACTTTTGACACACTAACATTTACAACTGCAGCATGTTTGATGTTTTACCGTCAATCTAGTGAGGGAAAAACGGGTAACTGTAAGGAAACTACCAAATTTTTCTGTTAGTCAAGGGGTTCATCATACACAAGTGCAACTGTGACCAAATATGTACAATTCCCCAAGCATCTTTCAATCTATCTAAAATTCACCCGATCCCTCTTGGTATAAAGTTATATAGTTGATAACATGTGAAGTGTGATGGTGGTTATCTGCTGTTTGACATATGGTCTCTTATACTCTGTAGAGATTGTGAGTTTGAGCAGCATTACAACTCAAATCCGCACAAATCTAAGTGACCTTTGCATGGCGTCATGCTGCGTATTTGAAAGACTGCTTTAGTCTGTTTTGTCTTACACAACTCAGTTCCTTCTTGTACCGATGCTTTGTCCTTAACTCCACATTCAAATATGCTCTGGCCTCTGCATTTAATTGTGAATGTGGCACCGGGCCAAGTTTGGATGTTGCTGAAACTTTCAAAACTCTAGCAGGACTGCATCTGTCAAGAACACCCCGATTCTGCAGCTTATCCACGGTCTCGAGGAGCCTTTTTTTGCTTTACAATAGTGGAAAAGATGACATATGCAAATTCATATCTAAATAATTCAAACTTAAAACTAACGCCATGAATGCAATATTGCAGTAATTTTTATTTCCACAAAATCAAGTCAGAAGGATCACTGCCAAGACAGCATCAATGATGCAATGTAAGGAATCTTTGAGAGTTAGAAATAATGAAATGCATTATTGTCAATTATTACAATGGGGTTTCTTTGCTGTTCACTCATTCTTCACTTTTCTAGACTAGAGAATATTATCTGTCTTTTTAACTGTATATTCATCCCATGACATCATGGCTCTTGTTTATCGAGGATGAGGAAAGTAACCAGAATGAACTGCCTTGGACCTCCAAGCCTACTTTATTGGATCCCATGAGAGTGACGGTGCCAATCTGTTTATGTGGAAAATAACATTCAATAGATTGTTGGTAAATTGGCATTGTGTCTAGCAGGTAACAATTATTGTATTGACTTATTGTTCAATACTTCTTGGATACCATACTGTTAATCATTTCACAAAGGTGGAGAGATTATGGCTGATTTCAATGCTAAACAATGCAGTTTTATATGTAGATGGTTAAATAATGAATAAATGTTATATTTGTCTGCTTTATTGTACTAGCATTAGTGGCATTAGGTACTCAAGATGGCATCCAATCATTTGAATAAAGATATTGTCCAAAATGTAGTTGTGACAGACCTATTGGTGCCTCACATACTGTAGCTGGAGCTAGAGCATTGAGTGATGGCCTGCAGCATCGCATGCCTCAGCTATTTGTGGAATGAGCAGCAGAGACTTGCCCGCAGCCGTCCACACAATCATAACTTGGATTGTTGCCATAATTGCTGTTGCTTCTGGACAGTTGTGCAGGGTAGTAACAAATGGAATATGTATTTTTGACTTTGGCACAACTTGGTCCCGTGATACTATTAGCTGGCTTCCCTATTACTAGAAGTTTGTGGCTGGGAAGAATCTTCGTCGAAATACATTATAATGACTCGATTTGGACAAATGGCCACCTCAGCAGTTCCCTCCGGCGTGTGGCAGAATAAAACTGAAACGTGCGACTCTATGCCCTCTGAGTAAATGTCTCTGCAGAGCTCATCAGTCACAATGAGCTGATGTTTTGAATGATTCATGCCACACAAAATCAATATGGATTATTCTATTAAAACCATGATTTTTTATTTATTAGGTCACAAATGCCTGGGATATTTGACTTTTTAATGACTCGATATAAATCTTCCGCCATGTCCTCTGACTCCATATTTAGCGTCCTTTGTTAGTACAATGACATAGTTCTTTATAGATTGATGTTGCAGTTTCTTTGTCCTGCTCCCGTGACGATTACCAGGCGCCTGCTTTTGTAGATGGCCCCATTATACTGTGTGTTCTCAGATGTACATAACAGGTTTGTAAAATACACACACCTGCCAAAGAAATATGCTTGTAAAGTATGTAATAGCCTTGTGGTGATGTCATATTGAATTTTATAGAACAACCCATGCGTCCTGATTTTTTTTTTATCTGTGTGTTTTATGTTGAAAGCAATCACACACTCTGGTCCAGGATGACACAATGCTAAATTAAATATAATCATCACAACTAAAATTAAAACTCACTGATCACTGTTTAGGGAATTGGGGGTGGGACTAAATAAGATTTCATCCCACTCTCTTTCAGGCAGAATTAGGTCATCTTTACATGCAGTATATACCGTACATTCACTTTTTGCCCCTATATGTTTGCACTATGTGACTTGACTGTATTGTCTACCTTGTACTTATCTGTGCCATTGCCTGAAATAAATGGAAATGAATTAAATTACTAATTCAAACTAATCTAGATAAATTAGTGGTGCTTCCTGTGCTCTGTGAACATGTGCTGTGGACAATTCCAAATAAACGATGTCAAGTCATATCCCATTGTCAACCGTGTGGAAGCCATCTCTCTGGCGGAAGTGAGCCCCGCCGAGAGAACCCTTTTGTTGCGCATTGTTAAAGGTGTATTACGTAGGATTTTGGGGAAAACATTTATCTTTTACGAACCCGTGCTTTAAGTTTCATTAACGCACTGCCAAGACTGAAGTTATCTGAGGTCGACCATCTGCCTCTAAAAACCTGCACGTTCATGATTTGTTCAGTATAGAAGAAATGCTAACTAAACTGAACAAAAATATATTGTTTTTGCCCCCGTTTTTTCTGGGTGGAACCTGAAAAACACAAATATTTTTCATTCACTAACAAAGTCCACACGACACTACACTAGTATGCAATGAAATATTTATTGAATGATGATACCTGTGTGTGAGACTGGGTGGGGCTTTGGCAGGTGGCATTCCCAGTGGAAGTCGCATGTTTTACAGCCTCCAGGTTTTCTTCCTTTTGGCCGTGAAACATCAGGCTTTAAAAGATTCCAGTGTTTTCAGTTTTCCTGTAAACTCAGAGATCATGCAAATATCATCCTCACATCCTTCGCAGACACAATCCTTTAATACAACATGCTCAAACATGGTAAACAGCCACTGAGTGAATCCCTAGACATTAAGGGGCCCCTCCGTGGATCCCTCCCCTAAACCTGGCCTCTTTAATGAGCAGAGGCCCCTGTGTTTGATCCCGCTGCCAGCCCTCAGCCTGCGGCCCCTGTGCCTCATGCCTATTCAACAGTCCCCTCCAGTCTCTTCAGTTGCACTCCCTGCATCTTGGTGCGACTATAGAGAAAGAAAAATACACTCCTGAGCTATTTGTCCGTATATACAAGCTTACTCAAACCATGATGGGGACGAAATTAGCTGTTTTTGTGAATTAAATTAGATCGAAACTGTTGAGGTAATTGTAGTCCAAGCTCAAATCAAGTGAGACGTATTTTGAACGTGGTTTCTCTTCCTGTTTTGTGTGCAGGACGGCGGTCTGCTCATCAACAACCCCACAGCACTGGCGGTGCATGAGTCAAAGTGTCTGTGGCCGAACACGCCCCTCGAGTGTGTGGTCTCGCTCGGGACGGGGCGCTTCGAGAATCCCAACAAGAATAATGTCACCCACACCAGTCTCAGAACCAAGCTAACGAATGTGATCAGCAGCGCGACTGACACAGAAGGTAAGACATGGGAAGGTTTATGGCAAAAGATACAAATAATAACTTTGGTAAATGTTGTGAAAAAAGAAAAACATGTGCAAAAGATAACGAAAATGTTATTAACACATAATCTAATTCATACAAAACAGTTAAAGCTGGGGTACAAAAATCTGCTGCTTATAAAATCCTGCAGGCAACTACCTACATGTTCGTAAAACTGTTTGCATGTATTTTTGGCCTCCCATATCTTTTAGATCTGTTCTTTTCAGACACAAAAGGGGTTACCGGTCTTGCTCAGCCAATCTTGCCTCAATCAAAAATGTCAATTAGTGGCAAGGCAGGTTTATTTGTATTGCACAGTTCATATACAAGGCAACTCAAAGTGCTGAACAAAGCAAGATCGAAACAATACCAGGCATTAAATTCACAAATTATGATGCTTTGTCTGGATCACTTTTTCTAAACCTACATTTAAACATTGTCAGAGAAGAAGCCCGTCTCAATTTTTAAGGGAGACGGTTCCAGATTTTATAGCCCCATGTTTGCTTATGACTCTGGGCACCAGCAGGAGGCGAGTCCCTGTGCTCCTCAGATTTTGAGTTGGTTCATTTGGCAAAAGATAAAACGTTTACTAATAAGATGAAGGTAGCATGTTTTGGTCTGACTGGTTCACCACAGAATTTTACTTTCACAAGCCGTTTGGTTGGGACAAACTAAAATCTAATTGTATGGGGGTTGGGAGAAAGTCAGGCACCCCAGCTTTATGTGCTGTAGATTCAAATGTAATTTTTTTTGGCATTTCTCATTGTGCATCTGTAGTGTCGCAGTCTTCCATCTCCTTATCACCTCTGGACACAGGGACTTGGTGCTGGGTCTAAATGTGGCTCAGGCCCCTTGCTGTTAGTGTTAGCGCTGCTGCTGTGGGGTGCAGAGTCTGACCTAGATGCTGTTCCTCCTGTATTTAGGATTAATCCCTCCCAGCTCTCCACACGGCTTTGTTATGTTGCTGAAGCAGATTAGCAAAGTGTGTCTATCACAGATTTTCCTCCCTTTTTAAATTTTTTTTCTCTTGTTTCACTGGTCTCTCAGTTCTTGTTCACCAGTGAAACCAGAACGTTTTCGTTGTGGTAGTGGTGGTGAGATGACTCATCTTGGTGAGTTGAATTAAGAAATCCAGTCTTATAGATTGCAAGAACTAATAAAAAATAAGTCAAAAATGCAAAAATTTTGAAAATTTGGAAAAATGTATCTTAATTGGAGCACATGTTGATTGCCTTAATAGATGATTTGCCAATGGAAGAAGAAAAATGATCTTGTTTAAAAAAGATACAAAAAAGGTCTCGCTTGGAATGACAAAATGAAGTTACAGTTCTTGAAATAATATTAAATTGCTTTGTCCTCTTGGTAAATCTTGTTTTTAGACAGTCAGAATGTGCTCAAATTAAGGTAAAAAGCACTCGATTCGAGAACGTATAACCTCATATTTTATCATTTTTTTGCAGTATAGTTTAGAAGCTGCATTATCAAATAGTTTATTTTGAGTTAGTTTAAATGATGGAGGTCCTGTGTGTAGGTTGAGTAAATATTGATTCTGGGAGTTTCTGCTTATAGAGGGTCACAGCCGAGTGTGCCAGGGTTAAAATATGCATGCATGTCTTATGTACAACTCCTTTTCAATAGCAGCGTATTTCTCTTTCTTTTCAGCACACACTAACTCCAAACAAACTCAACATGACAACATTCATCGGAACATTTGCAGACACAATAAAATCCACCTTAAACCTTTACCCTCGCTAACTGCTTGTGTAAATGGCAGTCTTATGATTGAGGTTTTTAATGATGACAACTAAAGACATTGGTACGTTCCAGTCAACTTAAAATGGTTTTTTTTCGATAGTGTTTGTGAGCATGCTTTGGCATCACCTGTTGTTTGTGTTTTCATCTAATTATTGAGTTTGGACAATGCACATTAATCTACATCGATGCCTTCAGCGCCAGTGTAAATGAACCGAACTTAGCATAAGTGCTAGATTTCAGCCATAGTCCCAAGGCAGGTTCCTAGGTAACTTAGACACAAAAGACAAATCATACAATGAACAATTACAAAACAGAACACAGGCGGACAATATCAAGGTGAAGCAGACACAGACAGACAAGATAAAATAATATTTATAAATATACTCTGCAAAAGTTATGGAAAAATAAGTTAAAGTGCTCAAATTTGGCAAAATGTATCTAAATTTGAGCACATTTTGACCGCCTTAAAACAGGATTTTCCAATGGGACAAGCAAAAGAATCTATTATGAGAAAATAAATGGCTTTGTCCCATTAACAAATCGTGTTTTACTCAAATTAAGATAAATTACCTCATATTTAACTAACTACTACTAACCCTGTGGGACGTAAGCTTTGATAGAACCCATTTTCACAGGGTGTAACTTCACGATCGGAGCCTTGGGGCGTTTTGTCTGCTTCCCTCGCTCTTCTGTTGCCATAGCGCGCTGCAGGTTATCTCTTTTCACGCTCCGCTCTCTTCACAAATGTTTGTACACGTTGCGATGATTGGCCGCATAATCATTTGTTTATAATTTTGCGCATTTCGAAACGTCAGGCTTGTTTTCAGTTCAAACTCGATCTAACCTCTCCGCTGTTCTCACGCTCTCTCCGTCTTGTAGAAGTCCACGCCATGCTGGACGCCTTCCTGCCTCCGGACACCTACTTTAGATTCAACCCCTACATCAGCGAAGACATCTCCATGGACGAGAACCGACAGGAGAAGCTGAACCTGCTGCAGACCGAGTGCATGCGATATCTCCAAAGGAACGACGAGAAGCTGAAAAAAGTGGCCCGCATCCTGAACCGAGAGAAGAGCTCCGTGCAGAGGATGTCGGACTGGGCCAAACTCAGGGCCGACATGTTCAATGGCTTCTCCTTTTCGTCCAAAGCGTAGGTTTTGTCGACTGAATACCTCATATTTATTCTCATTGAGAGACTTTTACTAGAAAATCGTATTTTTATTGCATTATGTGATTTAGAATTTTGAAATTGGTCCTTGGTCAGACTGAAAGTTAACAAAGACCGACCCTAAATCGGTAAATTGTTTTAGCTGCATCAGTTTTATTGTATTGAGGCCCAGCAAGGCAAGTTTATTTGTATAGTACAATTCATACACAACTCAAAGTACTGAACAAAACAAGATTGATTAAAAAAAATAATAATCACAGTACATTAAAAAGAGTGAACATGAAATTGCTCAGTAACTGTTTTTAACCTCGATTTGAACATTGTCAGATAAAATCCTGTCTCACATTTTCAGTAAGACTGTTCCAGATTTTAGATGCATGAATCTGAATTGCGGCATCCCCTTGTTTTGTCCTGACTCCTGACACCAGAGTTTAAGAATATAAATGAATAGCAGATCCTTTTGTGTATATCGTGTTTGCTGTAGGCATTTCAGACGTTTTAATAGAAAAATCTAGTGTTTTATAAATCTATAGAGACTATTTAAGACCTGTGTTGGAAACAGAAAATTATCTTGTATATGACATTGTGACAGCCAGTAAATCCTTGAAACTTATCGAGTGTTATTTTTTTAGACCAAAAGGCAGAGACTGTTGTATTGATTGAATGTAACCACTTTACACTGCAAAAAGTGATGAATAATAAGTCATAGAAATGCAAAACGTATCTTGGTTTGAGCACATTTTCACTGCCTTAAAACAAGATTTGCCTTAAAAAATTATCTTGTTTTTAAAAAGATGCAAGAATTGTCTCCCTAGGAATGGGAGAATAATATGGTTTATGAAATAAAATTAAATGGCTTTTTTGGCAAATCTTGTTTTGAGACAGTCAGAATGTGCTCAAATCAAGATTAAAACCACTAAGCAATTATTACCTCATATTTTATCATTTTTTACAGTGTACATTGAGCTGTCATAGACCTCTAACTTTGTAAATGGTCTAATCAAGGTATTTCATGCTCCTCTGACTGCGATATCTTTTCTCTGGGGACTGGAAAATGCCCTTTTTTAACTGAAGCTACATTGTTTGTGTGTTTTTGGATTTATTTAACACTGTTTTAACTGAAATGTTAACATAATTATTAGGGCTGTCCAAAATAGCGCGTTATTAACGCGTTAACGCAAATCAATATTAACGCCGTCATTTTTTTTATCGCGCAATAAAAAAAAAAAAAAAAAAAAAAAAGATTTTTTTTTTTTTTTTTTTACTTTTTATTGCAGACAAACACATATACAGAAAAAAAAATAGAAACAAAGAAAAGGACTAGTTCAGATACATTGTAGACAGAGATTACAAACAATATGTAGTTGGAGATACAGGGGGCCAAAGAAGAAACCCAGAAGGGCACATAGGAGGGGACGGGGGGGGGGGGGACATGAAGTGGGAGATGGGGGGAGGGGTTAATAAAAAAGGCAATACAAGCAAACAGTATACAGTCATAGATATACCGAAGGTAAACAGAGAAACAGCATAGAGTATTTACATGAACAAATTTACTAAATATTTACAGATTGTTTATCATCATCATAATGACACCATGATGTTTCTATACAGTCTATGGTCTATACCCACACACACACACCCACACACACACATTGAAGGGGCTTTTTGTTACCAATTATTTATTTTGTCATCCATTTATTGATGATTTTGCATCAAATGTTAGTGTGTAATATAACACTACACATTGTTTTCAATAAAAAAAGCAATTGCACACAGCACGCAAATGTGTGACTAATTTGCGATTAATCGCGAGTTAACTATGAAATTCATGCGATTAATCGCGATTAAATATTTTAATCGTTGGACAGCACTAATAATTATACAATCTCACATAATTATTTATTTGTTATTTTTACAATTCAAAGACCATAAGGCTTGATATATTATAGCTGCCATCAATTAGAAGTAAAAAGGTTTTTCATTAGGCCTTGTCATGTACCTTCCAGTCTAACATTTATTGATATTATTAGGCTTTAAGATAAGATAAGATAGAGCTTTATTGATCTCACAGTGGAGAAATGTACATGTTATATTTGGCATCAATAGAATCAGCATGCGTTTGTAATCAAATATTTCCCATTTCTGGTACGGACATGCTTGTATCACCTCTACTGTATGGCGCCCACCTGACCCTGAGCTGTTTATTTGACATTTAAGCACAATGGTCCACTCACATTATTTCTGATGATTTGATTTCATATTTATTCTCCCTCCGGCAGCTACACATTTCTGCTCTTGTTCACGGTGGCCTCTTCCTCTTTTGATGCATGCGCCTGTAAAGCCTTTTATTTGTCCCTTTTGTACCTCAAGGTGCCCACTCTTTCATTTTCCACAGTGCTGCTGGACTCCTCTGAAGGACTGGTTCACAGACAGAACGCTGCTTATTGATTTGCCATGGCTCAAAAAGGCACAATGTTTTAGTTTTTATTTGATTGGAAACGCACTGCAGATGTTAACGTCCGCCTTGTCAAATACTGTAAAAAATATGGAGATCCAATGGACGCCTTCCTGGGGAGGTGTTCCGGGCACGTCCCACCGGGAGGAGGCCCCGGGGAAGACTCAGGACACGCTGGAGAGACTATGTCTCTCAGCTGGCCTGGGAACGCCTAGGAGTCCCCCCGGACGAGTTGGAGGAGGTGTGTGTGGATAGGGAAGTCTGGGCGTCTCTGCTTAGACTGCTGCCCCCGCGACCCGGCAACGGATAAAGCGGAAGAAAATGGATGGATGGATGGAGATCCAATGGACAGAGCACGACTGTTTTTTTCCTATGGCTAAAACTGTACATAATTAAAAACTTTTATGCCGTTTCTCCTGCATCTCCTCGCCTCGTTCTTTGTTGTGTCTTCTCGTTTACATCTATTTTGTGGAGGAGAGGTTTGGTAATTAGTTCGCTCGCTCAATTAACAAATGTCTCATTGTTGTAACAGGTGCTACGATACCTTCACTGCTCAATTTGCACGTTCGAATTATTAGCACTCACTGTTACTTACTGATGCTGTGTGTTGGTGTTGGTGTAGAAGAAGACTATAGTGATACCCAGTAACTCTGCATCTATTTGTAGTAACACAAATAAAACGATAAAACAGGTCTGGGACACAAAATAAAACAAAACATGGAAATCTAAATAGAAAAATAGGATACATTTTCTGCTGTTTCATGTGTTGACGATACTCACTACTGTAAAAATGGATAAAAACAAAACCGAGGAGATTAAATGTTTTAATACATTCAGGGCTATTTGTTGTTGTAGAGTTTCTGTAAAGAGTAAACTGTGTAAACTATAAAATTTAAATATACCGTTCCAGAGCTGTAGTACAAAATGTGGTTTATTTGTTTAGTAAATGTATGAATATATGAGGTAAACAAACCTCATATATTACAGAAAGGTGCTGCACATCCATCAGCTGACCCTGCTGCCAGCACCGAACGACAGATACATGTGTTTGAAACGTAAATGTGCAAATGTTTGAATAAGTTCATAATAATTTCAGACTCATCTATCTCAGTCACATTTCTACAAAAAGATCTGGAAAAATAGGAACACATCTGACAATAGGGTAAGGATTGATTTGAGGTTTCTATGTATCTAAGTATCATATCTAAGTATTTAATGAACATGCAGTTTTCAGGATAAATTTGCTTCGTTTCTGCTCATCTTTAGACTATTTCCCAACTACAGTTTAGACATTTTCTTTGTGGGACCATCCTCCAGGGCTAAATAAACCAGTGTTTATACCAAAGTGAAATTGCATCATATTCTGCACCTGCCCTTTCATGATCGTTGATAGTGTCTGATTTCCCCTAATGAGCCCATCACTACAATACCTCTCTCCATCAACACTGCACCTCGGGGCAGGACTCTTTTTGCTTCACACCAGCTCATTTAAAACCTTAACTGCCAATCTCCTCCAACCAAATGAGATGAGTTGGCAGGGCGGCCCTCGGACACCTGGGCACTGTCCCGGTCCGTGATGGATCACAGTGCCCCGCAGCATCAACAGCAGCCGCGACACTGCTCTGCTCTGACTGCTTACACGGATGAGCTCACCCAATAGTCTGTGAAAGAGCAGGGCACTCCGAACATCAGCTGCTGCAATGGCCCTGTGGCGTCTGTGAGCACCATCCCTGCACAAATGATTCCAGTTACTTTGTGAGGAGATCATAAAGATAAAGTGCCCGATGATGTTTACAAAGACTTGCATTAGTGATGGGTGGCTTTCTAAATACAGAAGAATGAGATATTACAGACTGTCGCCAAGAGATGTTGTGGGCCTCGGATGAGTCATGGCCTTTAACTCCACGTTAGTGTCGTATCAACCAAGTCGAGCGTTGCGCTCACAAAACGCCAGACGTCTGGTGGTTCCTAAGGTCTCAAAAATCACTGTTGGCGGCAGAGCGTTTAGCTACCAAGCTCCTTTACTGTGGAATCAGCTTCCCATTTATGTTAAGGAAGCAGATACGGTCTCCACATTCAAGGCCAGGCTTAAAGCACTCTTCTTTAATTTAGCATATAATTAGGTAATATATAATATATGGTGTTTATATTATATATATATGTTGTATTATGTTATATATTATACAATTAGTGTTAGTATTATGTTGTGTATTGTGTTATGTTGTATATTATGTTATATATTATGCTGTATGTTATGTTATTTATTATAAATAATATATATAATATGTATGTATATATGATATATAATATATAATTAGGTTTGCCTGGATCGGTTTGCAATCCATGAATCTTGGTGCTGTAGCCTGGGCTAGCCTAGCCGTGGCTGCTGCTGCTGTCTCACCTCCTTTCAGATACGCTCTCTTTATTCAAGGCTAGGTTTAAAACAGTCCTCTTTAGTTTAGCATATGGCTAGGAAGGTAAGACTCGGAGAAGGTTAAACTCCTCAGAGTGTCAGTCAAGCTGCATAGGGAGTCAGTTTGCTGGGAGAAGTATGGTAACTTGAGCACTATCCTCTCCTCCTTCCTACTTTATCTGTTTAGCACTTTTAGGATTCTGACTGTAGTTTGTTCATTGCTATTCACCCGTTGTCCCATTGTCTGTTTCATGGTACGATGATGGGATCTCTGAGCCTGGCCTCCTCCATCTACACCTGCGGACTGCCCCGCCCGACCCGCCTGGGAGTGCTTCAGTCCTGCACCGGACCTGTCCACGTTCAGCGTCCACTGGTCCACGTCCTGTAGCTAGCTTAGGTCCTAGATCATTAGCCTGTCCGTCCGGAGGAGCGGATCCCTTTCTCAAATGGGTCTCCCTCCCTGTGGGTTTCCCTAGTTCTCCCCAAGGTTTCTCCCTTTTTCCCACTGGGTTTTTTAAGAGTTTTTCCTTGTCGATGCAGGAGGGTCTTGTTGGACAGTTAGTGTCCAACAGAAAGGATTGTTGATGATCAGGACACTTTAGCATTCTACAACATGTATGGACATTTTCTTCTGTGTGTGCTTTATATTCTTCATGTGTTTTAACTGTTTATTCTCTGATTTGTGTTGGTGATTTCAATGGTTTTGTTAAGTCCTCTGAGATGACTTCTGTTGTGACCTAGGGCTATACAAGAATAACTTGTATTGTATGTGTGTAACTCATTGACTGCCTTGGACATATTTGTCTGAGACTGGTGATTTCTGTCAAACTTCCCTCTTTTTGACTGGGGATTATAGGACAACAAAAATAGCTAGAAAGAAGCTTATTTTTGTCGATAAAAATAGACATCCCAGTCTTTCAGAATCCTGTTTCAAATTTAACATAATCATAGCACATAATATTCTGTGGGTCTTGGCAATCAGTGAAACCATCAAAAACGGCTGGCAATGATTCTATGTGTTGTTACGATTTGAGTTCATGTCGATTGTCTTAAAACAAGATTTGTGAGTGAAGCAGCTGTGGTCTTACTTCAAGCTCATGCACATTTTTATTATTTGAAGTGAGAAATTGCTCGCCTCAATTTAACTCTTTAACTTCATTTAACGTTGTGCAATAATAGTTTTCAAACAAACAAACCTAACAAGAATTAGTACACAATAAAACATTCTCCATAGAAATCATCGTTCCTCCAAAAAGTCCAATACGTGGCATCCAGTGCAACACAGGATCTCATTTCCATCATACTTTTATGGAAGGATTGTCCACATTTGCCCTTAATATAAGACAGTACCATAAGCAAATGTTTATTATTGTGTGGAAATATAGAGCAAGTAAGTAATGTTTATTAATATAGAGGATTTTACAGACCAAGGTCACCCAAAGCGCTTTACAATGTTCAGAGTTCAGATATTGTTCCAATCACTCCACACACGGTGATGACAGAAGCAAGTCGCTGAACACACTGGACCGTCAAAGCCCCCAATCATCACCATCCATTCACTCTCTCATATACATTCATACCTATTGTGCATGTTTTTAGTGGTAGGGGAAACCGGAGCACCCAGAGGAAACCTACGCAGACACGGGGAGAACATGCAAACTCCACTCAGAAAGGCCCTGTTCCGACCGGGATTCCAACAAAGACCTTCTTGCTGAGAGGCGAGAGTGCTATCCATTTGTTGTTCCATCCAAAAGGTGCTCATATGAACTGGTTATTTATATATGTTTAGTTTTTGCACCATTTTGAACGTCTATAAAGGTGTGTGGCGTCTTTTGCCTTGACATTTTTTAACAACTCCTAGTTTTAGCATTTTAGTTAAAGACACAGCAAACACATTGGATTGCGTAATAACTCACCTTCCTATAATTGGCGCAAAATCCTGTTTTTTTTTTGTGTAGGTGTGAGAAGAGCCTCATTTATCAATTCGGGCGTTCTGCTCTCCCAAAATTTCATCCACTGAGCGGCGCTGTGATCAAAAAATGACACCGTTTGTTGCCCAGTTCACTTCCGGTTGATTTCATACAATGGCGAATATGGCTCACGAAAACAACAAACGATTGACAGTGCCTGAATTGCGTGAAAGGTTGAAGCGAAAGGGTATTTGCAGTGTGGGAAAACGAAAGGAGGAATTGTTGTTGCTAGTTCAACGAGCGGATGGTGTTTATGAAGATTTAGAAGAAGATGACAGCGAGCAGAGTGAACGAAAACGGCTGTGTGTGTTTATTGCTGTTAGATCGACAATTAGCGGCGGCACACTTGAAGCCCATGATAAAACCGGATTCAACAGAAAATGACAAAAACACTCAACCATTTAGAGAAAATGCGCCGGGCAGAGAGAACCGGAAGTTGCGAAGGCAAGTGTTACCCATCGGATGGAATTTTGGGAGAGCAGAACGCCCGAATTACAGATGATGAACTGCGGGTGCAAAGTTAGCATGTGTAATTTTCCGGCTTTTAGGTCAGGATATGAGCATGATACACAGAGCATATATGGAGCACGGATAAATGAGTCTGATTGATGGATGACACTGACAGCTTGTTTCTTGTTGTTCTTCCGCTCCTGCTTGTACTTGTTGCCGTCATGATGATTTCTGTCATGTCTTGCCCCCGGTGTGCAAACAAGGTTATAGGCACCAACACAGACATCTCAGTCCAACGGGAGAAATCCTAATATCGTTACACGTTGCCCCTGTGAGGAAATGCATCTGACTTCCGAACTCGTCATGCAATAATCACATCAACACATCTTCACCTTTGACCACGTCTCTACAAAACCTCGTCCGTATCACTAACTCCCTTCTCCAGCTCATTTACTGCACGTCTTTATCTTTGCCTGGCTGCTTTTCCACTGCACTGATCCACAGCTAATAATCCTGGCTTATTAGTGTGTAATTATAGTTTGGCAGACGGAGCCCTGATGCTGAGATGAAAAATACAAAATGAAGCATAATTCCGAAGCGTGATTGATTTGAACAGGTGACATTTGCAGCCATGGAAAGGTTTGAGCCACAACAGTTGTTCTGAAATTGTGCGAGGTTAAAAGAAATGTCAACCAATATCACTCAAATGCATGTGCGTTTTGTAATGTTGAAATAATACTAATTTTGAGCAGGATATAAAGATACAGTGTTTAATTAACCGCTAAAGTGCATAGTTTTTTATTGGTTAATGTTAGTTAGTATTCTGCCCTATCTTGTTCTACATATCCCAATTCTGCTACTAGAACATTTGTGTGAGCCCTTTCTGATAGATAAACTCTGCACTGCACTGTTTATAAGTTCTATTCTTTCATAAAAATACCTATTTATACAATAGAATAAATCTTCCAATGCAATTCAAAAAGGTGTTTCAGCCATCTGCTTGTCTCTTTGAGTCAATGGAAGTCAAACCTTTCTTATCATAGAAATATTTTTGTTTTTGAAAAATGAATCTAACCTTTCAGTTTCAATAATAGGTATTATTTCTCCTCAAAACAAGGAACAATGACTTTAAAGAAAAAATAAGAAAGAAATACCAATCTTCATCTAAGAAAAGCTTTTATAAAGACGCTTCCTAGCAAGGTGATCATTTGCTGTGAAATGTCTTTATAAAAGCTGTATATTTCCAAACTAATTCGATTTTTGCTTAAAACAAGCTAAATCTATTCTTGAAATTAAACAATAACAAGTTTAACATGTGGGTTTTGTGTAGTGCACATAAGGCATTGATCATGGACACTGCACACAGGCCAGGTCGGGTATGAGGAGGGGGTTTCCTTGGATATAGACTTTTTGATAGCAGCTCATTTCAAGGCTGGCCGCCCCATTTGACATTTGTTTTGCGAGAAAAAAAGGGAAAAAAGCAACAAAAACTGCATCCTGCACAAAAATACTTAAAAGGCGTCAAGGTTTTTGTAATAGGCACAGTTATGCCAGAGCTGAAGAGATGTCTTTTCAACTCAGGGCTTCATTAAGATTTAATTTGGCAACTAGCAAGATCCACCCTGTGCTATCTCTGTGAGGCTGTATCCTTGAACTTATGGAAATCCCTGGGAGTATTTTACACATAATATGCATGAGGGAAATTAAGAAAACACTTTAATGAGATTCGAGTGGTGCGCAGCAGACGTATCTGGAGGCGGTGTGAGATGCGACACTGGGACAATTACATTCGTTCCCTGTTGGTTTATGAGAACACAGGGACTGAATCACCTATGTTCACTGCTGAGGCTGAGGAGGGGTACAGCTTTATGCAAGCAGTGACCTTCACCTGCTTCTGCTCAGAATGTGTACATCTTTATTTAAAGGAAGATAGATTTTAATTTGGGTGTGAACTTGGGTGATGAATAATAGGAGAACTAAAAAGCTGGACCACACCAGAAGAGAACCCCCAACCACATCCTTTAACTCTATAATGCACTTGCTCATGAAAATTAAAAAGAATCAGGTCTATGTTGCATGCTTGTAGGTTTGCGATCAGTTTCTCTGTCCTGCAATATTACATCCAAAGGTGGTTCTCTAGCCCCTAAATACTTCCTTATACTCAGACAGTGAGCAGCTGGAGATAGCCTCAGTGCTGAGCCTGAGATATTACAACATTCTCCAAGAGAAGAGCAGGTCTGACAGAGAGGAAATGTACTGTGTTTTCAGTTCATGACATAGTCTGCCTTACCCCACAGGCTACTCTGTGATTATTAGTGCAATCCTTCAAGAGTAAAATCTGGGCACTCAGCTCTGGAGAAAAACAGCTCAGCAGTGCTTGAAAACAGCTGGTGTGAAGTTGCTTTGAGGTGAATAGAAGTAAGCTATAGTTTAATTAGATTTTGGCTGGAGTCTTTTGCTGATCTGAGTAAAAAGGATTGTGCTATAGCCCGTGTCCTCAGATTGATAAATATGCAAATGCAGAGGGTGATTTAACACTATCCATCTCTGATACCCCAGGCTCCTGCAGATGCCTCCATGAAACAGAGGCCACTGCAGAGCGTAAACTTAACCTTTATTTACATCTGTCCAGCTGTGTGCAGATGTTGTGTTTTTGATCCTGCGGGAGATCGAATAAAGTACTAAAATATCTGCATGAGAAATAATTATGAGGAGTCCTTGTCCCACTGAATCAGTGACGTTTGATGCCACAACACATGAGCGGCGCGCACAGCGGGCGTGCGCACGCCCTCAGTGCGCGCTCCCGTGAGCGTCTGAACTGGTGGAGCAGAGGAGCAGTGACAGAGGCAAGTGCTGAAGGCGAGTTGAACGGGACTCTGCGTAAACAAACGCTACACACGGGCTTCTCTTCAGCCGGAGACCGCGGACCGCGCTTTGGACAACAGCAAGAGACGACAAGAGGTAAGAACACACGCCTTCATTCACACGTGTCCGGACTGCGCTGTCAGAGTTTGGAACAGGATGGAGCCTGGTGCAGGCGAGGGATGCTCTACAGCTTTTCACACAAACATGGATCTTTCCCGCGTAGACTCCAGAGTGTTTATTTGAAGGTGCATTGAAATCGCCTGACTCTTAAAGACACATGGGCGGTGTGTGTTCTGCTGGTGGTGCTGGTGCTGGTGGTGCTGGTGCTGGTGTTGCTGGTGCTGCTGGTGCTGGTGCTGGTGCTGCTGGTGCTGCTGGTGCTGCTGGTAACTGGAGCAGGTGCAGGTGAATGTGTTTCTGGATCCACTGTCAGAGCTGTCACTGACACTCTACTCGCTCCATCCTTCACCCACAGCCATGGCTTTGGATAAAGACCCCAAACCCCACTACATCCTCTGGAGCTTTGCCTGACACATGTTTAATCCCTGAATACTGATTTATCTTGGACAGATCTGTATGTTTGACTAAACTGACAGTTTGTTTACACTACTGACCCGAGTATCTGATTACAATTCCCTTCTGAGATTCAACAATAACCTCTGATATGATGTGTTTAATCAAGTCTCTGTTTTTACTGGAAACAAGCTCCTTTTCCCTCCAGACCGTGCCTCTGTCCCCTCCTCCCCCCGGGTCCCGTCAAAGCTTCAGTCGTGGGGGACCTCCATCACACACCACCCCCACCCTGCTCCATCTTGCTCCATCCTGCTCCTCATTCACACATATGCCTGGTCTGGGCACTTTCGCTGCTCGTTGATAAATTCATACAATGCTAATGACCCCCTCTTTATTATGCCTTGTTCTGGGTGGCTTCTGAAAGGGCTGACACACTTTCTCCAGTCATGTTTATTCACTGAGACTAGACTGTGGGTAATCTGTTAAATGCAGTAACAATATATCCCCTCATCACTGCCTTCTGGTTTCTGTGCATCAATTACACTTTCAGGCGGCAAATAACAGCACTTGTTTGTGACAATATTCTCTGTGTCATTGGCTTGTACTTAAGAGATCGTCATATCCATGGGTGTATTGACATTGTATTGGCATGTCTAAGAGTATGTATGGTGATATCATGTTTAAGATTTCATGTTTTATATGTAAAATTATTAGGGCTGTTATTAACTATTATGTTGATGATTGGTTGGCCCATTTACTCTTTTGACAATCGATTGGTTGTTTAACGCTTTTCACTTCTGTCATTTTTTATACATTAGACCAAAACAAAGCTTAAGTGATGCCCTCGCACAACATATTGCGTTGTTTGATGCTCTGTACGCACATTTCCATTGAATCTTGAAATCATTATAGAATTATTTGAGTCATAAAACTTTGCGGCATGTTTATGTGTCTAAGTTTCTGAAAACTACAGTAATCGATTACTCAATTGACTATTACTTCAACTATTTGAATTAGCTGCTTTTTAAACATTAAACTTGACATGCATTTGCTCTCTATAACTTATTTGTTTGACTTGAGGAAGATGAAAAGTATATCAACCTGGAAATCAGATAGTACACTGCAAAAAGTGATGAAAAATAGGTAAAACATTTGCAAAATGTATCTTAATTAAACATTCTGACTACCTTAAAATTAAGGACAAGCAAAATGATCTTGTTTTAAAAAGATACAAGAAATGTCTCCCTTGGAATAGGAAAATAAGGCATCAGTTCTTGAAATAAGACCAAATGGCTTTGTCCCATTGGCCAATCTGGTTTTAAGACAGTCAGAACGTTCTACAACTACGATACAAACCACTCCATTCAAGCAATTACTACCTCATATTTGATCATCTTTTTGCAGTGTAATTGAAGTATTTTAGTTTGAACACAGTGGGACCAACCTAGTGAACCAGGACAAGATAGTGACCTACATTGTCTACCCATCCTCACTTTTACCCTCGGCACTATCGGCTGGTGAGAGAGAGGCAGAGATTTGCATAACTAAGGGATTACCCGCACACATGTTGGCCAGCGCACCCGTCACTCACACTGCCGCTGACCTCAAAGCTATGGCGGCCGCTCTGGTGATGCTCTGTACTGTGGGTTATGGGAAAAGCTTGGGTGTTGGGGGGAAAATGCCACTTATTTGCGTCCGTGGGTTGCGTAGACACGTAGGGCATTCTGGTGAGCAGGGCTGAACGCCGGCGCGGCACAAGTCTCTGTCTGTGACTTTATGAACTTGACTCCAACGGTCGGACGGCACAAAGCAGCTCATAGATGTCCCTGGGACGGTTTGTATCACTGCGGAACTATTGACATCATATGAAATGAATGGGGAATTACTCAATCATTTAGTCATGCGTTATTGTCATGTTTGTGCGGCTGGATGTGGCGTCTGCGGAGATTAATGTATTCAAAGGTTAGAACTGTTACTGGCTTTTATGTGAAAAAGAAAAAAAAAGGTGGAGCCCTGAGACTTTATAGGAGATAGCGAATGACTAAAAGCAATATAAGTAATAAAATGTTGGGAAATGTTTTTGGAAAGCCTGGTCCCTGTGTATGGTCCTGGATTCTGGTGTTACAGGCTTTAGCTCCTGTAAGGCAATGCAAGGCAAGGCAAGTTTTTTTGTATAACACAGTTCATACACAAGGAAACTCAAAGCGCTTAACAAATCCAGATAGAAACAATACCCTCAGTTGTATGCAGAACTAAAACAGAATTGTTTTTAACTTGGAGTAGTACATTGTAGGTACATATATTTACGCATGTTGTTGTGATTTGGTTGTTCTCATATAGATGGATAGACTTTATTGATCCCTGTTGGAGAAATTCAGGTGTCCAGTTAGTAGCAGCAAAAAACCATCCATCCACACAAACAAAACAAATAAATCGATCATTCTAAAAAGCTAACAATAGTATTAATAAAATGCAACAGCACATCAGGTCACAGCAGATCATATACAGCTATCTGTTTTCTCATTTTATGTTGTTTTGATATGAAAATCCTGCACCTTCGACTACTTATGTAACAAAGACTAAAGAAAAAGCTATTTATAATCAATGCTAACAAACGTGGCAGAGGATCGTGCCGTTCCTTTCCCTTTCGCAATCCAATCACATGGCACCACACTGGGGGCAGCTGATTGACCGAGCGAGGTCCGCATATGTCCCATAGACACGTGCACTGACCCCGGTGCAGCCAATCAGGACGGGAGGTGAAGGGCAGCTCTGTGATGGTCTCTTGGGGGCCCGCTGATGAGGGGCCTCTGCGTCGGTGTCGCTGGAGACTGGGGTTGTTGCGGCGTGTGTCTATGGGAGCAGCCATCGCACACAGCCGTCCAGCAGTATGGGTCGACCCCTCCTGGACCTGCCCGTCTGAAGCATGTGCCTCCTCATTAGTGCTATGTCCCTGCTTCACGGCTGCCTGCACACTCGGCCTGTTTATAATTTGTAGGAGTGGATGTAAAAGGGCAATGAGTACATGTGATGAAAGATAGATATGTTCATTAGGTGCACAGACACACCACTTCGATGAGAGAAAAAGACCAGGCTTCAAGCTGCTGGGGACAATTAGACTTTCACACTCAGTTAAGCACCGACTCTAATGGGCACCGACATGTACCGGGGAATACTCTGCACAGCTGCAACTGTTGTGTTTAGATGCCAGTGTGCGACTATTGTATCTGGAAGGATCCCACAACACATCCAACAACACAAAAATCAATGTTTTTGTTAAACCGGCTTAATGATGTCGCCTTTTTATACCTGCTTTTAAAACGTCTTCCCAAAACACAAAAAGATGCAGTTATTTTATTTGTGCGTTACGGAAGATTATTGACATTTTGCGTGGTCTGTTTAGGAGTTGGCCAAACCTCTCGCTTCAGCTGAAAACTCTCACCGTAGCTGTGTTTATGCAGCGAGGGCAAGCGTTTGACTGCATTGTGGTCGCTTTATGGATGTCCCCGGTCGGCCCACTGTGACAAAATCATTAGAGGCCGGCTTTACACCACGTCAGTCGTCAAACCCTATCACCCAAGTGCGCCCTGTTATAGCCCCTGTCATGTTATCGCTCTCTATAGTGAGAACAAAGCATCACATTTTCTCCTTTTTGTCACTAACTAACTGCCGTAGACCACCAGGCTCAGAATCTTTTTTCTGAAGTGGCAGAGTGAGATAATGGATGGCCATGTTGTGGGTTTTATGTCCCTCTCCAGCCTGAATAGAGCCCCTGACAGGTTAACTACCAAGTGATTTCTTCCAGTCAGTCTCCAGATTACGGCCAAGATATGAGGGATTTCGGAGTTTGGAAGTCCTTGCTGGAGTGTTGGCGATGAAATGGGATAACCGATGTCATTCAAGACTTGAAAGCTACAGTGTTAGTGTTGAACTAAACATGGGGAGGCAGCATTTCAGATTCATGCAGCTGTTTCTTTTTAATGTACGTGATTATTTATGATTTTATTTTAACGCCTTGTGTGATTGTTTCTATCTTGTTTTGTTCAGCACTTTGAGTTGCCTTGTGTGCAAATTGTGCTATACATACAGTATGCCTTGCCTGTTATTAGCAATTGGTGAATGGGTCTTTTTCATCAAATGTATGCAATTGCCTCAACCCCAGATATAGTTCCATCACCTGCATTTCTTCCTGCAATTGTGGAAAGTTTACTGAACAAAGTGACTGAACAACATTTCGTATTGCCTTTAGAGTAACCGATATGTCTTCTCGTCCTCCCACTGCATGCTCGCTTTTACAGTGCCTATAGTCAAAAGGCTGTGTAGTCGATGTGAAAGCTTAGGGGGTCACATTGTGAAGGAGGGGTGGATCCTTTACCTCCGAGGACGCTGAGAAGGGGCAAGGGGGGGAACAAAGAGGCTCTGTTTTCCGTCTGTGCCGGCAGCCGCTGCTTCTCGCCTCTTTCTTGTGAAGCAGGGGCTGAGACAGGGGGTGAGACAGGGTTAGGCCCGAGCACGTCCACAAAGGGATATGGGGTGTAGGAGCCTCTGCTTGAACACACATTGCGGCCTAAAGAGATTTTAGTTTTTTTTCTTTTTTTTGGAGAGGCAGAGCAGGGCATCCTTCTTCCCAGGCTCAGGCCAGCTCTGAATGGGCAGCATTTGTGAGAGAGGCTGCTTGGCCCGGTGGCTCTACAAAACACTGCTGCTTCCTTCCATATCTTCAAAACAACAGGAGGTGGGCACGGCAGCAGCAGCGCCAGAGTACAGCCAGAATCAAAAGGAATTCAAGAACACTGTGCACTTGAAAACGTCTTTAGTATGTCCTTCGGCATCCGTCCTCAACCGATTTGCATAAAGCTTTAGGGACTTTTGAATGCACATCCCAGTAGCTCAGTTTAATAGCAAACAAACATGAGTGCGGTTTACTCTACTGTCGCTCTAATTAAGTTTGTTCGAGTCTGCATTCTGATGGCTTTAGAAGTTGAACCACACTAGACTATACAAAGTGTCACTTGTTTTGAGCAAACAAAAATTCCAGTGGGTCAGATGTGAAATGACGACGTGTTGCATCCCGGGAATGACTTAAGCAGTAATCAGGACAAAAAAGTCAGTGCACTGCAAAAAATGTTTAAAAAATAGGTAATAACTGCTTGAATCTTCTCTTTTTAACAAGATTTGCCAATGGGACAAATCCATTTGGTTTTATTTCAAGAAATATTGCTTTTTTGTCTCATTCCAAGGAAGACATTTCTTGTATCCTTTTAAAACAAGAAGATTTTGCTTGTCCCAAATGTGCTCAAATTAAGGTACATGCATTTAGAGTATGAATCTGCAGGACTATAGAGCCAGAACAAAGCTGTGACATGACGCAGCAGTGAATGAATCAACAGGAAAGACAGAGACACAGAGTTGTCAGCTCATGATTCAGGCTCGCTGACACACACAAAGTGGGTTTTCCATGGTTCAGGAGGTTTTCTGACCCCAAGGTCTTATTTAGGACAGGCCCTAATGCCCTTCCACCCTGCCCCACCCTGCCCTCCCCCTCCACGATACACAGCCCATGTTCAGACTCCATGTTAGACCCACAGCCTCCAGTCAAGGGCCCTTAATCCAAGTGGGATGACAGCTTGGCTCTAGCTGCTGTTTCTGTGCCGCTGAAACCAATGGGCTTTTCTTTCCCCATTTTTTCATCCCTTAAACCCCTAAACACATCCACAGGAATCCTGGGAAACATTCTCCAGCAGCAGACAAAGGAATAGGATGGTAACAATTAGAGTGTAGTTTTGGGATTCCGTTGCGCATCGCTATGAAAGATAACAATGTACAAGAGCTGGCAAAATCCACGATGATGCCAGATGAGCCTGCCTTGTAACTGTTTTTATGCAGATAATCTTTATGCGGCTCCAAAATGATTAGGGGAAGATTGGGGTCAGAAACCATTAATCTAAAAATGTAGTGTCAACTGCAACAATAGGCCAACGGACTCAGCCAATCAGATGAGTGCTCTATGAATAACAAATAGGCCAATAATACTTATTCATACAAGTGAGCAGCGCACAGGTTTGTCAACAGATCAAGTTGCTCATATATGAACAGGACTGAGACTAAATATTAACATAATCCACTCTGTAAAATACAATATGACAATTATGTAACCATTTATAAAGCCATCTTAAAGAGATTAAAAATAATTGAGGACAGCTATAAGGTGACTGTCATGTTGAAGAAACAACCCATTACTTGTCACTCATCTGCTATATAGAGGCACATTTTAAACTAGTTTTTAAACCTTTCAGCTGTACACATTGCATATTTAAAAATGTTTATTTTTTTATCTGCACACATCAGAGGAGACTGTGCTGAGGCTTTGGGCTGAAGCAATTTAACATCAAATGCAGGCGATAGAATAGTAATCAGTTTAATCTCCCAGTGGCCGAGGGTGTCTGTAGGAGCCGCGACATAGTAATTGTCAGACAGATCATTCTTCCCTTTGGGCTGTGTTCTGAGAGGAAAGTGGATCGACCTTCATGTGTAGGTTTGGTCTCAGTCAGTTCTGACGGTCCAATCAGGAGCGAGCTGAGGCCTGGAGCTGTCTGAGCACTGTTTGTCTCCGTCTGTGGAAATATCAATACGCCTTTTGTCTGAGAGGGTTTCATATCCACAGCTCTCCATGTGAAGAGCCCAATACAAACATCCATTCATCTTCTTTAACATGTCCATTTCATCTGCTGCAATGTGACAGACAGACTTTTTTAAAGCGGCATGTCGTCAAGGAGTTTTATTAGCAAACATCGAGCTAAAACCACATAATACACATTTATGTCATTTAATCCTATACTATCTAACAAGATATTATTTTTTTCCAGTCAGGGAAACTGTTATTGTGTAAAGGAGTGATCTTTATCAAGCCTTTGTGCTGTTCAATTCAATTCAATTCAATTCAAATAACTAATAAATTTATCTGTGAGCAACTTAATTTGCAGACGGCGCACCAGTGGATACATAAAAACACAAGATATAAAATACAATAAAAGTGCAGAAAGGCAGCATAAAATACTTTCCACTCAAGATGCTCTTCTGCTAGTCGCCCGATTAACCTATATCTATTTAGCAATCCTAAATATTTGGTTGTGCAATGTGAAATCTTTCTGAAATGACTGACATTTGTTTCAATTCAAATTTTAGTGTTCAGCATTATTCTATTTCAACAATGTCAGTTACAAAATATTTAATAAATATACAGATGATGGGGTGATTACTATGTTATTGGTGTATTTTACTTCAAATTGATATAAAAGACTGTATAAGAATGTCCAATCAGCAGCCTGTGGGGGTGGGTCTAACTGGCTCTAGCAAAAAAAAAATCTCCTGACCTTGACTTTAGAATAATCCGTTTTGTATTCATTCCCGTGTCATTCCCGTGTCAAACCCGAAAATATTAAAAATGCAGACATGTTATTTCACATACGTTTTCTTATATTCATGTGCGGCACTGGTCTCGCTGGAGTCGCTTATGTGCTGGCATAGGTTGAAAGGCCCTGGTCTCGAGTATAGAGCTAATGCAGGGTGATCAGCCCCCGCTTGGGCACAAAGACACATCTCAGAACTGGTCCTCCTGAGTCCCAGCGTGTTTGGTGTGTGACCCGCGGACGCCCCCACGACTCGACACTGAAATGGGGCATTATCTACAGCCGGTCATTAGTGGACCGTCTCTGAGGTGGACTTCCTGCCTCTGAAGTCAGAGTCGTCTCACTGTGGGTTTGGAAAGAAAATCACAGATCATGGGATTGATGTGGTATGAAAGAGGAAGTATTTGATCTGGCTGTGTGTGAAGTTTTCTATGGGCCAATATAATTTCAGTTTTTTTTTTTTTTCAGTCAATACCAGTATCCGCCGTCACAGCTAAAATTGAAATCATTTTAAAATCTTTATATTGAGAACCCCCTTCTGTTAGGTCTACCAAATGTTCAATGCCATGAATGGTTCTTATAGTTTGATTCATGGAGTTGCTTCTGTCCAGCATTGCATGGCCTCATTCGTTCTACAGCCTGAGTCCTGGATCTATAGCCCGTCTGTCCGTGATACATTAAAGGACAACTCACCCTCAAATCCACTTTTTTTTGCTGATAAACTGTATAAATGAGTGTCCAATAGTGTTGTCTACATATCCTGGTCATATTTTTGTCACTTTGGTGCAAATTAGTTGAAAGTTAAACTTTCTGCCTAAAACCCTCTGTGAGGCGCCATCTGCTGGCAACCTGTATTACTACATTTGAATTTTGAATCTGGCGCCAACACTGGCGCGGCAGCAAGACTTGACGTCTGAAGCAAGACCTGACGTCAGCAGCCCCCCGCCCAGAGCAATGTAAACGGCCCAGTCTCGTTCACGCCCCCTTTAGTCCTCCAGGCTACGCCCATTTAGAGGAAGATTTGAACAGGAAATGTGAGTGACGTAAGCTCCGAGGAGCGGGGGTGAGAACCACTTTAAGGCACAAGGACAATGTTGATGATCCAGGACACTCGACGTGCAATGAAATATATGGACTTTATCAACATTTATGGACATTGGTCATCTTCCCATTATGGCGCAATAGTTCTATGCTTTTTTTAATCATTGCATTTCTTGTGTTTGATTCTCTGATCTGTGTTGGCGGAATTCGACTATTTTGTAAAAGTCCTCCGGGATAACTACTGTTGTGATTTAGGGCTATACAAAAATGAATCAAATTTCATACATAATATCAGTTCTGAAATCAAACCAATTGTAATACATGATAAAACAGCAAAAATCCTAAATTAAAACCAATATCTTTCTCATCCCTAATGTCCTGCAGTTTTCTCGAGCGAGCGCTTAGATGAATACATTAGTGACGAGTGCTTTGCCTTTTGACTGCTGCGTGAGGGTATGAGCAGCAAAAAGTCCAGCTGTTAATGCGTAATGAAATGTTTTTACAAAATTAACTACTCCATAAATCCCTTTTTTTAATCTCACTTTATATCATTGTGATTTACCTAAACGGTCTGATGATCCTGAAGTTGATTAGATCCCACTGGCCACTGCCTGAAGGCTTCATTTTTTTCACTGGCTGACATTTGTGCGTTTTTTTATTTATTATTCCACATCTAATAACTGAAATGTTATAATGATGGCTGTTGTTCCAATACTTTTCCCTGTATGACTTTCCCTTCAAAGTGGCCGCCTGCCTTTTGAACCAACTCGGACTATGTGGAGCACAGGGACTGGCCTCCTGCTGTTGCCCAGAGTCAGAACTAGACATGGGGAGACGGCATTGGAGACTCATGCAGCTAATATGTGGAACAGTCTTCCTGACAATGTGAGACAGGCTTCTTCTCTGACAATGATTAAATCCAGGTTATTTTAGCTGTGCACAACTGAGGGATTTTATCTTCACTCTTTTTAATGCGCTGTGATTATTGCCTTATTTGAGTTGCCTTGTGTATAAACCGTGTTCTATAAATACACTTTCGTTGCCTTGCCTTTTGTGTAGGTTACTGTAAGGTTCCTTTAAGGTGAAGCTGGATGGTCACAGCCAACCCACTTACATGCATTACTTGAGTAGTTTTTCCCTTTGCCGTTTGTTCATTTAGTGGGTGTTGT